TAATTTATCGTGGGGAATGGTTGTATTAAACGTTGAAAAGTCGTACGGTTTGATTTCATTGATTTAACAAAATTTTGTTTTCTGAAGTTTCTCCTTCACTGCTGTTAATATTTTAGTGAAGAGTAAAGAAAGAGGCTTGGTAGAAAAATTACTGGAACCGGCTATGTATCTTTGTAAAGATTTTTATGAAGTTTCGGAATCCAGAATAGGTATGGTAGTTCAAATTCATTTTGATTGTTAAGAATATTAAACATATTTAAAACAGACATATGGTTTTGAAGAATTTCCTCCTTAGAAAAAGAGCTTTGGGTAAAAGTCATATTGCTGCATAAGTAAGGGAAGTTGACGATTGAAAAGTTAAAGTCATCACTTTTATACAATACAATTCAAATAACGAGCCTTATAAACAAAGGCAATGTTGTTAACTGCTTTGTCAAGTAAATACTGATCGTGTAATCTACTTAAGTCTTGTTTCACTTCTGCATTGTCGAAGACAAAAGGATAGGTGCTTTTCATATTGCCCCCCAATCGCTTAATGCACGATTTCAACATCCATCTGATACATTTAATCCGTTGTGACAAAGTGTCAAGGTCTTATTTTTCATATTTAACCCATCGTAATGCGTAAACTTCTACTGAATTCATAATATTTTTGAAATTATAACGCAAGTTGAAAGGGTTCTCTAAACTTTTCCCTCTTATAATAAGTGATTTAAGGTCCTCATTATTAACTATATCTACGTCACCAGCAAGACTATAGTTGTAGGGTAAAGAAGAACATGTACACGTTGAAAGATTAAGTTTCAGATGCTTGATATCTAGGCACTAAAGAGTTTTTTTTATAATTAGAAATGTTGGAAGCGATTGTCGATGTATATTTGTAAGAAATACAAGGCGTGGACTTCAACTTGAAATATTGTGGAATACAAGACTGGACCTTTTTGTGATTAAGAATTACCTGTATTAACTGCGTCAATTCCTTTGTTAGTATATTGAAGTTTAAGGAACAATCTTGTTATTTGAGCGATATTTTCTTCCACGAAACATGGCGGTTTAAAGAGCTTATGATTTGCAATATCCATTATCACAGGAATCCAAATATGGACTTTCCTTGTCTTTTACAAATAGACTATTCAAAACTTCCAAAGGGACAGAGTAAAGTTTTGAGCGGATGTGATGAAGGCCTAACTATGTATTAACATAAGGTAGTAGTGAATCAAAGAAGACATCGTGTATAATAGGTTTATTGTAAGACCGATGTTCATAACTACGCTTAAGTCTCCGTGTACTGTTAAAAATCCCACAACAAACCACCACAAACGAAATGACTTCGGATTTTCCATCGTCAAGTTTCTTAATTTATGTAGTAATAATCTGCTATCACCTGCATACAATGTTTACGTCTCTCAATTTACTGTAAATATGTATTGTGTTTAGTGAACAAGTTAAGTAGATAATTTGTTTCTTAATGCTTTTATCAATGTGTATATGTGCAAGACATTTTAGGGTTGTACTTGAGTAAGTGGAAGCTGCTTTCCGCCAAAGACCCTAAAATATACAGCTAAGGGTTATACGTTTACAGTATTCGATACTCAACAGCATGCCCTGAGTACCATCATTTTTTTTAATCGAAGCAGGCTTCTGACAGATGATATGACAGGGGTTTCAATAACCTGTTTTAGCAAGAAATTCGTAAATTCTATGGTTGATATAATGACCTTGTAAGCACATATAACTATGGGTTGAATTTTGACTTACATATTTCATGCCAAATGTTAGGCATTTGTTTTCACACTGAATTTGACTACGGAATATTCTGTCTACCTGATCAAGACATAGACAGGTCAATAGTGGATGCTTATTCCTCTTAGGCACCTGAATTTCCGGGGATGGGTGTTTTATGTCCATTTTTTTTTAATTGTTTTTAGATTTCTTTGAGATCAATCACTGATTGTTATCTTCACCTTGAAAATTCTCCAATATTTCTTTTAGTTTTACCGAAAAGATTGAATTATGTGCAAATGATGATAAAAATATAAGGAATGAAAATAACTCGTGTATACGTAAGTATACAATTTTCAATTCTTAAATTTGCAACAGGCTCTCTCTCTCTCTCTCTCTCTCTCTCTCTCTCTCTCTCCTTCAACAGACAAATTTTATCTTATTTATCACAATGGAGGTGAAGATAATTTAGAATCAATTCATACAAAAAAAAAAAAAAAAAAAAAAAAAAAAAAAAAAGTGTTCTCGCTCAATTTCTTTCAAAAAACCTTAAATCTTTTACAGTTTTCCATCAGACATGTTTTATTTTTAATACGCTATTATATTATGTTAGCGAAACGTCATTGTTTTCTTATGTCTTCTTATGTCTAAAAGTATTTGCGACGTTTAAATAAAGCACGCAATCCTTGATTAATATGTTATATTATTGATGATGCAGCATAATCTTATTATTTAGAAATTGCCATGGTATGATAGTTTGCAACACATTCCTCTCTAGTTTGTCCAAAGAATGGAACTATTTTCATGAAACATGGAGGAGAATACATGATTTAAAAAAAAAAAAACTCAAGCAATGCGGAGATAATTGGAATAACTAAATATAAAAAAAAATAAGCATTTAATCGGGTTTTATTATATTTGCAAATCGATTTAAAATTATTGTAATCTGTAGCAAAAAGTGCCAATTTTGTAATTGTTAACGTAACAAAGTATATAATTACATGAATCTCTCTACGGTTAAAGGTAGCACAATGAACATAGATACTTTTACTTCGTAGAACAAAATGACTGTCTATCACTGAATTAACAGATTTCACTTTTCCCTTCAATACATAATGAAGTTCATCTCTTCTGCATCTCTGTAGCACCAATTTCGGCAAAATAAATAACAATGCATGTAATCATATCTGCAAAGAGTGACAAAATATTGCATTTTACTTTGAAGAACATTATTTATTTTAGCCTCGCATTTTCCAACATAAAGAAAGTTCTTAATTTATTTATACATCCTTTACTTTTAATTACATTTAAATAAATATTTATACAGACGACCACAGTCTTTAATTAATGTTTCATTTTATACTGCTAAAGATGTGTTTTGTTGCTTGTAGTTTGATATTGTAGAAATGGTAAGCATTGACGTTGAATCCTATTGTGACGTCATCAATGTCGTAAACATTGCAATGTATATGTCGTCACAATGCCTTTAGAACGTCGGAATACATGCACAAGGCTTTAGTAGGGCATTGACCGGATTAAGCTTTGGTTTATTAGGTTACCTTTATTAGGTCGATGCAGGGGTTAGTTGCAGGATAAAAGGAATTCACATTGCTGGTAGAGGAAATTATCAAATGAGTCTTAGAAAACTAGCAATGTAATAGGCATATAAATGTAAAAGTAATGCAATAAAAGAGTATATAGTAAACTACTAAGTGAAGGTTTCAACGGTTTGATGAATTATTTATCCTTATTCTCGTCTTCGTATTAGATTGTCTGTATAAAGTTGGTAAAAAAAAAAAAAAAAAAAAAAAAAAAAAAAAAAAAAAAGAGAGAGAGAGAAAATTTTCCCCGGCCACATACATTAAGATTTTCACTTGTATTGATCTTTCTGTATTCAGGTTAGTTTATATGTTGTTTTTGTATTCGGATACTCGTTCCTGTTTCTCCTATATAGAACTGTTCACATCCAACACATGTAATGCAGTAAATTACGTTTTTAGAAACACGTATCATATCTGCTTTGATGGTAAAATCTTTTTTCCCGAATTTAAAGTTACTTCCAATTTCATGTAGTGACAGGTTCCACAACGGAGATCGGAACATTTTTTTTGGCTTGAATTCTATTGTTGAAATAGAGATTTGCACAATATCCTTCAGAGATTTTTGGGTTGCCTTTTATTGTTGATTAATTCATATTTTTCATAAACTTTTGACAAATTTTCTCGTCGGATTGTAAGACGTTATTAAGGTGACGCACAGTTAGAGTAATATTTCTGTTCATTGCATTGTGCGTATTTACAAGAGGTAATATCTTTACATTTGAGTTTTCTTCTTTGAAGGATTTAAAAGGCTTTTCCTGTCCAGTTGTACTGCCTTTTTCGATTTCGTCCTCAATAATTCCTATTGGATAACATAATTCAAGAGGGTATTTTTTAATTCACGAAAACGTTCATCTCCTATTATTTTTTCGCTAACTATAGTACAGATTATTCTCGCTAAGAATCGAACGTTTTGTACGGCATGGATGGCAGGAACTAAAATGGAGGTATTGATGAGCATCTGTTGGCTTGTAGTAAATATCCGTCGATAAATGTTTTATGTTTTATCATAAGGACGTCTAAAGATGGAATACTATAAGAAATTTCGTCTAGTGTAAAATTGATGTTTAGATCCAGATCGTTCATGATGTTTAAAAAAAACTCTTATATCCGCTTCGCAGTTATTCCAAGAAAAACAACAGTCATCTAGGCATATTTTCCCATTGTTTCTTTTATGTTCTGTTGTCTGTTGATCAAAGTATTGCATTGATTTCATACATCTTCTCCTCTAGGTATCCTAGGGTGAGAGTTGCATAAGTAGGGACCACCTTGGTTCCCATGGCTGTTTCTTTTGGTTATTCATAATGTTTATCGTCCAAAGAGAATGTATTATTTTTCAAAAATATATTACTGGCCTCTAAAATAAATTATTTGCTATCACAGCAATTAATTTTTTGTGGATAATATAACAGTTGATTTGAATTTCTTCCAAACATATTTTGTTTTGCGACTGAAGGACCTTCAGAAAAGTCTGCTATTGCATGGTTAATGAAAATATTATGAAAAAATTGCTAATATTGAAACCGAAAAGTAAAAATTGGCATTCTTTTTTGTCACATATTTGGGAATATACAAATATATAAATATTTTTATATAAATTAACAATCGTACTTTAAATTTACACTTAAAAAGAAAGAGCGGAAAGTTTTCAAAGATACCAGATCGTTTTAACAGCAGCTGGATCCATCTCACTCACCTCGGTAGTCTGGATTATGCTGTTTTTCACGTGCAAGTGGTACGTTCAGTTAATTTTACATATGTCATCAATAGGAAAGAATATTATTTGAAATATAAGTATTTAAAATTTAGTGTATAGGTTTTGTCATAAAATTTGTTAGTTCTATATCTTGAACGTTAGTCTTGATATTAAGCATAGCAAATAAAAAACAATTGCAATATTTAGGTACAGAAAACGAAGCTTGTACAGAAAGACAATCAGGGGCGCCAGAGGTAAAATATTATGATAATAAGCATAATAAAGAGAAGAGAAGATATTTTATATATATATATATATATATATATATATATATATATATATATATATATATATATATATATATATATGTGCTTTATATATATATATATATAAAGCACATTTTACAACAACTCTTAAACTAACATAACTACCCTAAGTGAAGAAATGTTAATACAGAAAGCACAAAGAAATTCACTTTTATAAGGATACCCACTTCCGCCCCAGCCCGGGGTTGAACTCTCGACCTACGGAATCTGTCTCCTAGCAGTACAGGAACAGCGCGCTAGACCGCTCGGCTATCTAGGCAAGTCAAAAATCTCGCGGCACTGTCCTACATTACACGGTCATTGAGAATGGAAGTGAGATACAGTTATTTGGACATTAGTTTTATTAGAGGATCGTTACCAATACACGTTGTAATGAAATTAATTCTTATTTATAAAGCACATTTTGCAACAACTCTTAAACTAACATAACTGCCCTAAGTGAAGAAATATTAATATAGAAAGCACAAAGAAATTCACTTTTATAAGGATATATATAAGTATTAATATTTCTTCACGTAGGGCAGTTATGCTAGTTTAAGAGTGGGTATCCTTATAAAAGTGAATTTCTTTGTTGTGCTTTCTATATATATATATATATATATATATATATATATATATATATATATATTTATATATATATATATATATATATGGTAGAATAATTAAGAGATGTGTTAATCTTCTATGCAAATTTCAGATTTTCATATTTTGCTTATAATTTGCAAAACAATGTACTTTCATGTTCACTTGAAAAATAAATCTAACAGTTGTAGATTTTATAGACTTTTTAATCACTTTATTTAAGAATCGTAGAAGATATATCAGTAATTGCTTATTTATAGATGAAGTACCTCTATCAGAGCTTTCATCAGGAGATGACCATAGAAATGATAGAAGTGAGTCAGAAAATGCCTTGCGACAAAGTCGGTTACCAAGACAATATGAAAATGTACTCTATAATAGGTACTCAGATAACTACAATCACATATGTTTCCGTAACAGATCGAGTGTTCCTTTGAGAAATGTTTTGGATAGTAACTACGGTAAGATAAAGTTTGATGTATCGCATACGTATGAAAAAGAATCACATTCAGGGGAAAGTAGCAATGGTTGCATTGATGTCAGTGAAAAGTTTTATTCCGGGGAATTAGATATTACTCAAAGAAACAAATGTACCGTAGATAAAAAAACACACAGTTCCCGTGAACATCAAAGAGATACTATATGTACACAGAAAAAACCTGTTTCTGATTTGCAACTGTGCAGTATGAATGACTTTTATTTTAATACCGGGAATAGTCAAAAGGGGAAAAGTGTTTCACTTAATTTCGAAGAGGTTGACGAGGTATATGGATTCAGCAGAAAAGATGTGCAGAGCTTAATTGGATTTACTTGTGAAAAATCAAAATTATACCGAAATAATAGTGTTTGTTGAAATTATTTCACTAAATGTATGGTCGTCACTTTAAAGAAAATCAAGCAACATGGAATATTGCAAGATAGAAAAATGTACACAACCTAAAATCCATTGAACGCTCCCTCAAATCAGAGAGTTATGATAAAATGTATAGATGACTGTTGTAGCGTTGTTATTTTGAGTTTATTTAGTTGTATATCAGTCATATTTGTTTATGTTACAATAGACTTCTGTTGTTCTGTTGCCATTTAAAATATGTCCTATATAGATGTATGATATAAAAAGGAATTCGAAAATTCATACACAGGTTATTAAAAACCAACAACAAAGGAACATCAAAATTAGATTAATTAATTAAATTAGATTCGATTAAGACATGCCATCTTTAACATTAAAAATAATAAAATGCCTACCAATCAAATTTTGACGTTGTTAGATTCAGTACTGTAGTCATTAAAGTGATATTCTGCATCTTTCTTTTTTTTTTTTTTTTTTTTTTTTTACACTTTTGCCCTAACAAGTATGCTTTCAACTGTATTTGGGTGTTTGTGTAGCTTTTCAATTTGCTTCAAAACCTTTGAGCAGGTTTTGAGGAAATGTAATTAGTTTATTCGGAAGATGATGGAAAGATTGATTAGATTGCCAAAAACAAAATCGTGTGTGTATGTGTATTTGTGAAATTACATAACATCGAGTTCTAGTTAAAAAATTTTTTTGCTTATATTTGAAGCTATAAGAGTTAACAAATAACTCTGAGTATACTTTAGACAATAATACTTTAGACAATTAACGTCTGCTGCATTCTGTAAGTCTTGGTAAAACTCATAAGTCTTCCAGAGCTTCATTAGCTTTTTTGACATGTTATGCCATTATTCTCATACTGATTTGTCTACTCCGTTTACTAGATCAAGATAGAGGTCTTGTGATTGGTAGACAGGGGATATTTTCTCTTACATGGCATATGATTACAACTTGATTGATATTTTCTTAGGGTTTGGTGTAGGCACTTTCAATTTGAAATGTTTAATTTATGTCGCATACAGTTGAAAGCAGTATTTTCTACAGAAACTTTATTTCCCTTTGTTACCATTCTCGAATCTTATCTGTTGTTTTCAACCCATATTGAGTGCAAATATATTTCACATTCTTTGCAACTTATATTCAGTGAGTTGCACAAAACTTGTATACATAAATTTATTTACAAATTATTAAACAGTAAATGAGAGAAATATGGTTATATTTGATTTACAAAACATAAATATTGCGAGTCATATATCTTACCTGAGGTATATTGTAAAGTTATGTTGTATTGTAATATTGAACATTATATTTTGAGATGGTCCCCAAATGCTATTTGACTTAAATTAACTTTTCTTGTTTTATAGTTGTAAATTACGGGAAACTTGCATTATACAATACTATGTTATGCTCAGGTACTTATTTTTAGAGTTTAATGTGTGTAATTTTATTTATAACTAGATTATTGTAATGTCATATCTTACGTATTAGCTACATGTATGTTGAAACTCGAACTGAGATGTCACACGTTTCATTTCATGGAGATCATTAAATATTTTAATTGACACACTTACTGATTCATTCCCAGGCTATATGATGCATTTTTTGTATTGTTTGGGTAAATGCATTGTCTAAATTCCATTATTTAGTACACTCTTTGAAAGAAGTTGTCAGCTACTATTTTTTGTAGTTCATAGATTGGCCTTTACTTCCGGGTCAATTTGCTGTTTTTAAATTTCACCCCTATTAATATTCATGCCTCATGTGAATTTCATGACGTGACATTGTAAGTAAGCAAAATAATATTTTTATCTTTATACATGAGATGTTGAATGAAAAGTAGTATTTGAATTGTATAATTTTATTTGTTTGAAAGTTTTAATAATGGAACCATATTGCACGAGACATTTTTTCGTTTACTGTAAACGAAATCTGTTCTTAGTTAACGAATTTTTAGAGTAAATTGGTTAAACGGATTTTAATTGGGTATAAATAAGACGAATCCGTTAATTTTCAGTTAGTCTGCAACTTTTAGGTTTTAAAGAAACAAGTGGGGTTAGCATAATTTTTTTAAGATGTAAGTTTATTTATTCATTTGGAATTTGACTGGGTAAAAACTAATAGAAATGGCTAGAAAATATTTTTAGGGATTTAGATTTGATCACATATTTCCATAATTTGGAAATCTGATCAATTTATTTGTTAATTAGTGTGAATAACTAATTTAAAGTCACATATTCTGACTTATCTCTGAATCAGACTTTACAAAAGTTGGGAATTTTATCAATGAATTTGTTAATTAATGCAAGTAATTTAATTGAAGTAACATATTCTGAGTTATCTCTGAATCAGACTTTATAAAATTAGTGTTTGTGAAATTTCTTGAATTCTGATTTTATTTTGGGAGAAATTGAGAAACAACGGAATTAATTTCATGTTATTTTGAGGAGGTTTTTAATTTATTATCTTGTTAAAAGGAACTATGCACTAAAAATATTGTGGAACTTGAAGCAGACTCTTCACTCAGACGCTTGAGTTTCTGATTGAAAACATCTATGTAGATTTTGTAGATTAGGTTTTTCAACAATTTGTTGTAGTTACAATTGGTACCAATTGTTCCTCCTTATTAGCAGACCTATCGTTATATTCATATGAAGCAGAATTTATTCAAAACTTCTACATGAGAAGAAAACATTTGCTGTGGTCTTCAACTCGACATTTAGATATATCGACGACGTATTATCAATTAACAATTGTTCCTTTGATTTGTGCGCTCGATATATCCCAGAGAGCATGGAATAAAAGATACCACAGAGTCTGACACATCTGTTTCATATTTAGATATTTTACTAGAAAATAAAACTTTAATGGTAACCTAACGATAAATCTTTATTAAAAACATGATGACTTCAATTTTTCAATCTTCAACCTCCCTTACTTTTGAAGAAATATACCATTATCACATACATATGCGGTTTTTGTCTCCCATTTGATTCGATAAGCAAGAGCATGCTCTACATATGAACATTTTCTAAAAACGAGGCAGGCTATTGACAAACCAGTTGATGAAACAAGGATATCAATAGTCTCGATTGAGAACATCATTTTGCAAGTTTTATTGTCGACTTATCGTTAAGTCAAATGCTTACTGACGTTTTTTCATACTAATTGATAGGCCATTACGTATTTATACACTGAATTGTCGACGGATATTTCCGTTTTTCCTGATCATGACAAGGAGCACACTGCGAATGTGACCGGTCGGAAGAGGAATCTCACTCCTCCATGGCACCTGATCCGACCTCTGATGTTTTTGGAGGTCCATGTTTGCTCTGCTCCCGATTTGTATTGTTTAAATGGACGTTAAACTCTTTATTTAAATTGTATTTTAAAGGAACTGGGATTTAATTCTACAAGTGGTCTTCCAACTTATACCCATAACTCACTATTTAAGGAAGAAATTCTTCAAAATCATGTCAGTTTCGGATATTTTTAATATTCCCAACACCTAAATTGAATTTGAATTACCATAAGTATATTGGATTCCGAAACTTAATAAAAATCCTTACACTCCTCCATGGCACCTGATCCCACCTCTGATGTTTGGAGGTTCGTGTTTGCTCTGCTCCTATTTTGTATTGTATAATGGACTTTTGAGCTTGAATACTGTTCGTTATCTCCATATATTTCATTACAAAGATACATTGCGGGTTCCAGTAAATGTTCTACCAAGTCTCTTTCTTTTCTCCTCACTAAAATATTAACAGTAGTGAAGGAGAAACTTCAGGAATACTGTGCAACAATATATTCGAAAAGTGGTGAAAATCAGATGTGGATGCTTAAAATTCCAAGGAACTTTTAGAAAATTTGAAATCACAAAATTTTTCCAAAATCAATAGCATAAAAACTTACGAATTTTCAACTTTATATACCATTCCCCGCGATAAATTAAAGTCCAGGTTTTTGACATCATTGACAGCAGCTTTTTCAATAAAAATGGAACTCGTAAATTTACATAACTTGTCATTGGTCATTTGCAAAATTATTTTGTTAAAATATATTCTGATTGTATACACAAGTACTCTGAAGTTGATATCAAAAAGATGCTGGAGTTTCTGATTGACAAAATCTATGTGGTTTTTGCAGACCAGGTCTTTCAACAATCTTTTGAAATTCCCATGGGTACCAATTGCGCCCCGTTATAAGCAGACCTATTTTTGTATTCATATGAAGCAGAATTTGTTCAATATTTTATACGTGAAAAGAAGAAAACACTTGCTGTGGCCTTCAACTCGACATTTATCGACGACGTATTATCTATTAACAATGGATATTTCCATTCTGATGTCGATACGATACATGTACATCCCGGTGAGTTTGAAATAAAAGAAATCACAGAGTCTGACACATCATTTTTGGATATTTTACTAGAAAAAGTCGTTAATTGTAATCTAAGAAAAAATCTTTATGATAAACGTTAGGACTTTAACTTTTCAATCGTCAACTTCCCTTATTTATGCAGCAATATACCTTTATCACCTACATACGGGGTTTATATCTCTCAGTTGATTTGATACGCAAGAGCATGCTCTACCTAAGAACAATTTCTAAGGGGAATCTCACTTCTCCATATCACCTGATCCCACCTCTGGTGTTTTAGAGGTCCGTGTTTGCTCTGCTCCAAAATTTGTATTGTTTAATGGCCTTTTGAGCTTGAATACTGTTCGACATTACCATATATTTCATATATAAAAATCTAAATATGTATTTCTATCTAAATTTCATGAGTATACATGTATATATGCATTAACAGACCTAAAACATACCTTCAGTATGACTTGTAAATAACGACCAAATTCCCCCCCCCCCCAAAAAAAAAATAAACGCGAATGAAAAGGAAAAACTTAATCATTATTTTTCAATAATACTGAAAAGGATTCAAACATACTATGATTTAATACAAATTAAACCAATTTCCAATATAAGCGTAAGATGTCATTAACTGTCAGATTGTTCATGGAAGGCTTGTTATTATACTTCATAAGCTTTTATTGAATGAATTATGCAATTACCGTATATGCTCATATTAATTGCACACTTGTGTTGAACCATATGCAGTTTGTATAAAATTATCAAAGTTCCTCTCGTAAAAAACAGTTTTTGTAAACTTTGCCAGAAGTCAGAATCCGGTGCCTCATATTAGAGTAAATTGTGGTACCAATCTTCAATCTCATTTTCTCCAGGTCAAGTGGCAGTGTAACATTTGCAAAAAATTAAAATATTTTCTTAGTCATCGCCTGCATGTGCGAAGGAATGTATCGGTGTGAATCACGCATTAATCGAGGCGTCCTAGTTGTCGTCTATTGTTAATTTTACTTATTCGTCGGGACAAATAATTATCTATTTTGTCCGAACAAATATCTATTTTGTCCGAGGAAATATATAATTAAAGGAACAAATTCTAATTCCGCCGAACAAATTATTTGTTTTGTCTGCCCCCGACCCCCATCCCCCAACCCCAGCGGTGCCGTTGATAATAACTCATAAGATAGAGAAAAAAAACATGTTCGTGTTTCCTTCTCCAACACACTGCTGATGCCTGTCAACTTCCTCAATTGAGTTTTTTTGAATTGAAATAAGAAACCCACCCCTGGTAGTTGTACTTTTAAGTTTTGGAAGATCCAAACCAGGTATATATACAAGTTGAAGAGAAAGATAGGATCTCCGAATTTTCATGTGTTACCTTTATGTGTGTCATTAATAAATGACGTGCTTACAACTACATTAATTCTTAGTTTTGTAAACTGGCTGAAAAATAACGGAGCTCCGGGAAACAATATGTTTAAAATTTTCATTTTTAGAAATGAAAGGCTTAAATATATTTTCAAATTTTGCTTTTCCTTTTTCTGGGTTTCCTCAGAGGACGATGCTTTTAGAGACACATTCAGGTCAATACCCGAGAAAAACGATATCGTTTTCCATCGTCATACTGAAAGTAAAGTACTTTATGCCATGCACGTTTTTTTTATTTTGGGAAACAAGAAAGAACATTGATTGAATTTAAGCAGTGCACAAATCTTCAAATTTGCCAGAGCAACAAAAAGTGTGTGCGGGGAGGGGGGAGCAACCTGCATCTAAAGGAAAAAATAACTATAGCAAAATACTATACACAGGAAGTAATGGATGCCCCCCCCCCCTCCGCCTCGTCTTCTACGGGTCTGAACACTTAAAAACAGTGTTTTATTGATACAAATGTGTAAAATATGCCCCGATGATGATTGATTGATTGTTTGTATGTTGTTTTACCTCCCATTCGAGAATTTTTCACTCATATGGAGACGTCACCATATACCGGTGAAGGGCTTCAAATTTTGACCTTTACTCGGCACTCAGGGCCATTGAGCAACTTTCACTTTAAAGTGCCGAGCGCATGGCGAAGGAACAGAACAGTTGCTACCCATTTTTTATTGACTTATGTCAGTCGCGGCCGAGATTCGAACTCACGACCTCCCGAACACGGAGCGAGCGCTCTACCGACTGAGCTTCCGTGGCCCGATGATTAAATGAATGAAATAAATGTGCGGACTCCTTAATTGTGTTTTTCTCAAATTACATGTACATCGACACTATATGATAAATTGCAAAAAACAAAAAATCTACTAAACGGTCTTTAGAAGTATTTAATATTTCTTAAAATGCAATTAAAGTGAAAATGTGAGGTAAAGTTTTGAGACATTCGTAATTAAGTGAATTTTCGCAAAATTCACATAAGGCTTAGCGAACTGTTTGTAAAAGAGTATACCATACTGCAGGTTATGCGTATCTTTGTAAACTCTTAAACGTTTGTAAAAAAAAATACTCTTTGTTACACCTTAAAAATATCCACGTTTACATTAATAAGAATTGTGAAACGTACAAAATAATGCGTGATATGCTTTTCAGTTATAGTTAGAGTAGCTATACGCACATTGTTAAAAAAAGGGGTTCTTTTTTAATTGTTAAATAAATTTTGAGAAAAAGAGTATAAATATTTTTTTTCTCTAATTCAATATCCGTTCACAAGAATGAATATTCTTCAGCCAAATATCTTCCCATTTCCTGAAAAATAAATGATACCGTAGTAGGAAAAGCAAATTTTTATGCTTTTAGATGATACTTTTTTCATCTCTGTTTTTGAATGCAGTGCATTGTTACTGTGCATTGTGCCCTGGACACAAAATGAAATGCTCTTAAAAAGGTTAGGAGTAAAAAGCAAGAGGCCACAATGCTCACCTGAGCACTGTGGCTAGGAAAAAAGCTAAAATCAGTTTAGTATTATAATGCTTAAATCCATAAGTGGTTCCTACCTACCCCTAAAAGGGAGGGGGTATGATTTGAAGAAAATTGTATCTACACTAACTAAGGATGCCTACATATTTTTTTGACTAACTGTGACTTTTTCCCTACAAGTTTATACTTTCATTGTGGCCCCTACCTACCCTTGAGGGTCATGATTTGATCAAACTTGGATCTACACTATCTGAGGATGCTTCCATATAAATATGACCAATCATAACTTTGTTGTTCTTGAGAAGATTTTTTGAAATTTTCTTATAAACTACTATGTAAAACTTTGATCGTCTATTGTGGTCCTACCCTACCCCCAGAGGTCATGGTTTGAACAAAGAACTGCGAACGATAGTATTGTTCTCCCGCCTACCTCCAAGTCAATTTTTAAAAGTTAACACATTTGAATGATTTTTCATAATTATAGAGACATTTATATGATTTTTTCATAAGACATTAGTTCTTTGGGAAAAGAAAGAGAGATAACTCTATTATTTTAGTAAAACTTGTGTTTTTCACTATAGAAATCAACGGAAAACGGAAAATATTTTTAAAACATCCCCCCCCCCCGTGAAACAAAAATTCATTTTGACAGGTAATATAGACTGTCATTTCACAAATTCATACCAAAGCTTTGTGTGTTTCACGGGGGGGGGGGGGGGGGGGGGGGGCATATGTCTGCAGACAAAACAGTACAAAAGTGCTAATTTTTTTTGCCAATTTCAAAGGAGTTTACAACTAAAACATTGTATTTTATTAATGCTATGTGCTTAATTTTATATGCGTAAAACATAAGAAAAGATTTAAGGAACATTTATTCATATCCGAGAATATTTTAAAATATGGTGAGTATTGAAAATATCGTCTACCCCCCCCCCCCTTATTTAAAGAGCTGGAATTAGGGGTAATTAACTATTTAACACTGGTATTAAAATTATCAGTCAATTACCATTGAACTAGTCTTTGCATTCAACAAAGATTTTACGACCAAATTGCCATTTAGTTTTGAATTAAATGGGTTTAAAATGTAGGCAGGAATCGAGAGTTAGCGTGCGTAGTTTTTTGAATCTACACCACCTGAGAATGCTTCCATATAAATATGACCAATCATGGCTTTGCTGTTGTTGAGAAGAAGGTTTTTAAAGATTTTACCTGTGTATTCCTATGTAAAACTTTTATCGCCCACTGTGGCCCCACCCTAACCCCGGGGGTCATGATTTGAACAAACTTAAATCTTCACTACCCGAGGATGCTTCCATATAAATATGACCAATCAAGGCTTTGTTGATCTTGAGAAGAAGATTTTTAAAGATTTTCCCCATGTATTCCTATGTAAAACTTTGATCGCTAATATGGCCCCACCCTACCCCTGGGGGTCATGATTTGAACAAACTTGAATCTACACTACCTGAGGATGCTTCCACATAAGTTTCATATTTTTTAACACAGTGGTTCTTAAGAAGAAGATTTTTGAAAGATGCCATAAATTTTTCATGAATTCGCGCAATTATCTCCCCTTGGAAGAAGGCGTGGCCCTTCATTTGAACAAACTTGAATCCCCTTCACCCAAGGATACTCTGTGCCAAGTTTGGTTGAAATTGGCCAAGTAGTTCTGGAGAAGAAGATGAAAATGTTTACGAAAACAACGACGACGCCAACGACGCCGACAGACAACGGACAAATTTTGATCAGAAAAGCTCACTTGAGCCTTTGGCTCAGGTGAGCTAATAAGATAAAAATTTCTCACCTATTATGGGAACTGGGATACAACCTCCACACGTTTTCCGACAATATTGTGACATAAACTCGGATTGTCCACAGGCTGAGCTATATACGGTACAGTTGTTAAACACATCTACACAAGGCCCTAAAGGGATCGAATGTTCAGGATAAGAAATTGATTATTTGTTGTTACCTTTAAGAATAAACTATATTTTATAAAATTCTTATATTCTTATAAAATTAACGCTATTAAACGTTAACATTCGTCAGCATGTAGACATATTAAAGTTGAATGTCAAATATTGTAAACATATATTTTCACACGGAGTCATAATTCCACGAAATCATAATCTGTGCAATTAATCTACTGGTAGAAAACTACACAGATTTCATGGATTGCTAGTGTATGTTTTAAATGCAATTTAAGTACGATCTGACAAATTTCTGTGGAAAATCTGCGATCATAGCGTAAATTAATACTACATGGAAAAATGTATGTATACAATATGTGTTTTGAATTTTAATTACATTATTGAATAACTTGATTAATTTCAATCTTTTCTTTTAATGCTACCTGAGCTATAATGGATCTCAACATTCATGGCATTTACCTTGAAGCATCACATATTTAATAGAAATAGGTCGAGAAAGTTAATAAGTGTATACAGCCAAATTTCACATTATAAAAAAAAAATAGCAAAAGTTAAACAATGCAAAACAATCGAGGTATGCTTCACAATACCTTTAGTTGTGGTAGTTGTTGGAGTTGTTGGGTTTGTCATGATGTCTAAGTTATAATATCCTGAAAAGTATAGTTCAGTTGTCACTCAGGTTTATTTTGGTTTGTTTGTTTTCTAAATTTTTGCTGCTTTGTTTTCTTGTTTAATTTATATGTTATATTTATATACATTTGTTAAAATTTAAATAAAATACTAATCAAAGTATTTGATGGTAATAATTGGTACAACGTATGTCGGTTTCATTAGATCATAAAGGTTTTTATGGTTTTTTAAAATTAAATATCATAGACGGTAAGTTTCTTTTTCCCTTCTTTTTTAAAGCATCGGTTTTTAAATATACTGTAGCACGATACATTTGGAAATTAAATCAAATTATCAGATTATGGAATTAACTCGTAGTATGATGTGCACATTTTAAAAAAAATATTTAGTTTCTTAAAGGGAATTTGAAACTTTGAACTATAAGAAAACAAAGTTTTACTTTAAGAACAATAAGTACGCCACTCATGCTACAATAGCCTGGACCACAAATAAATATTTTGTTTCGTGGCAACGAATTTTTTTTCTAAGCATCTAATTAATTAACAAAAATGATAACCATGTCGCATATCAGCGATTTACTAAAGAATGAAATAGCTTATGTAATAGATATGTTGTACATACGACAAAATCCACAGGTCAGAGCACAGTTGTGGAACATCCAAGGAAAAAAAGCTGGACTTTCGCATGCTGTTTTCTCATACATTTTACATGCGTCAAAGTTGTCTCTGCAAGTATCTTAAATAAACAATCATCATACCAACTGACATGTTCTGATTTGACAGAAATACAAATATCACTACAAAGTATACCTTAAGTCTTACTTGAATATGCATAGGCAATGAGACAACACAATACGATGGTCACACTGTTCGCCATAATTGTAGTAGAATTGAAATGTAAATTCTTACCATTATTTATGTAAGGCTGGTCTTCAAAATGTGTTGTATATCCGGAAAATCAAGAAGAGATAAGGCATTTAATATTAAGGAATGACAATGATAAACCTGATAACCCGGAAGTAGACAAAAGGTCGTCCACATTTGGTATCAAGACTTTTCCTAAGTAGGAAAAAGTCTTTATTCATGCAACTCTTTTTTTTCTTTTCGAAATTTATAATAATCAAGGGATTCTTATATCTAGAGCGAAAAACACAAATTACTTTGTAGCTATAATTCTGAGTTTTCTTAAAAATCACATTCACTGTTGCTCAGTCGGTAGAGCGCTCGCTCCGTGATCTTAAGGTTGTGTGTTCAAATCACGACGGGACTGAAAAAGTCAACAAAAAATAGATAATAATTGTTCCTTGCCAAGCGCTCGAAACTTTGAAGTGAAAGCTGCAGGACGTTCGGATGAGACCTTCAAAACCCGAGGCCGAGGTCCCTGCCTGTCACGGTAGGAGTTGGCACAATAAAGTTTCCTCACCACTTAATAAGCCATGAGTGCCCCGTAAAGGTCTAAATTCGACGCCCTTCAAATGTATATGGTGACGTCCCTGTGAATAAAACATTCTCAAACGAGACGTAAATCAATCATTCAATCATTTTCAATAATCATCAGATACATTAGACATTAATCCATGCATACATGGTTTGAAAATGGTATAAAATCAATTCGCGAAATCTCGCTTTATGTCAAAAGAACACACATTTGTAATATTTAGTCATAAAGTAGGGTATAAATGATGCATCGGTGAGAATTTTGAAGGCTTTTATGAATGAAAAGTTGTTCTACTAAATTAAATTGTTTCAGTAAGGAAGTTTGTAAAATCAAAAAAAAAAAAAAAAAAAAAAAAAAAAAAAAAAAAAAAAGAAGAAGAAGAAGAAGATAAATGTACAAAAATTATGAACAATATTTGTGTCATGTGATTTCTTATTCTTGGCGAAGTAAACGTGAACATGATACACCCATTCTGCCCCAGACCTCCACAGTGTGCATCATACAACTGCCAAAGGAAATTGGCCGACTTCAATGATTTAAAATGGCACTCAGGTCTAATGAGGGAATATAAGGTTACTTATAAAATAATATTGAAATTTCCTTAGTCAAATTTGTTTAAAAAGTGGACTTAAGCGTCATTAAATTTACTTGCATATGTCTTCAAAGTAAAATACACTTAAGTTATATTAATCTGACCGGAGATATTTAAGATATAAACAAAGTTATTCAGTGAATGTCATTAAAAATAGCAATGGCTCTGTTGGCATAACTATATCTGCATTCCTTGATGTTGTCAAGAATGACAGGGAAAACTATGACCGTGATTTGTGCACGGTTGCTTGTCAAAGATGAAAATTAATTATAATATTTACTTGACTGATAAATTTGATATGAATCAATCCTAATTTCATATGAATCACGTACAATATTCATGATATTTCTAAACACCCATTGTACGTATCTGATTGTATGCCGCCGACGTCTTGATTAACTTATTATACTTTATTTTTTTCAGTCGTCATATTTCATTAACAGTTATGACATCAACATTCGAAGTATTTTATCTCTATGACATATAATTGTGGTAAACGGAAAAATTTTATGCTTTGATATAATTTTTTGAATGTTTAACTCATTTTTTAAAATTCAAATATATTTTGAAATACGTGTACATATATTATGAAAAAATTGTGAAGTTCACGTTATACCGCTCACTCTGACTTCGTTACCCTAAGTAAAAACTAAACGTAACTTGGTGAAGAGTTATCTTTTCTTTAATGTGTAAAATATAAGTATTATATTTCAGCAAGGTGCTTTATCTGATGATATTTTTGAAAATTGTTGTAATAATTTATTTTTATTTTTCTTTTATTGTAAACTGAAATTTACATTTATTTCCCATAAACATTCCTGCACAGCTTATCTATTAAGAAGCAGATTTCCCAATACAACATTTTCACACACCCTGTGTATACACTGAGAGAAATTGCGATTATGGACTTATAAATGCAACTGTATGGTGGGGAATAACAGAATATGTGCAAATATATCCCGATTGGATCATTGTTCCCTAATTGGGCTATTTTCCATATTCAGGTATTAGTTCTCACATGTTGGATGTCCTCGCCCCGCTAGTTATCTTTCATACATTTACGAGCAATAAATGGCATTTTTGAGGTAACATAAGATTATTATTACAATTATCATCATTCAGTTGTAGAAAATGTTCTTTACAATATACATTTGGAGATATCATCAGTTCATTTGATGCGTGTTAGAATTTTGTTAAAGATTTCTTCAATTAATCAAGGATATTTAAAATTCTGAATTATTGCGTGCATCACATCAGTTGTTGTAGCTGCAGAACTGTAGCCCTCTGCTTGAGAAAATCCGGACAGATAAAGCAGAGAACTACAGACCCAAGTGTTGTATTGACGCCGCCGCTTTTGTGTGTATGTGTGTGTGTGTGTCGCACGCTTCGGGCATTATTTCTTGTATTTTATGCTTTTCCCTGCTTTAAGAATAGTATCCGATAATAAAGCATATATTTCACTCCTATTCCTCACACTTTATTTACCCTTCAAAGGTTCCTTAAGGCCGTATGTGGTTTTGGAGTATCACTTAAAAAAAATAAATTCCGACGTCCATTTTAGTGTCATCCTAAAATAACATACCCGAGTTTTATTTATCTCATTTTTTAAAAATACATAATGTCTTCTTTATAGACAATATACATATTTGAACCTCCTGAAATTTTATTTACATTTTCACGGCAAATGTATTATCTTTGAACGATTTTTTCGCATGACTCCCAACATGGACGTTAGAATGGGAATTTTTTTAAACAAACATTCCAAAACCATGTTTGGGACCGTTAAAAAGTAAATAAAAAGTAAATAAAATAACACGAATATGAGGAAAATTATCAGATTCCCTTCTTAAAGTAGGGGAAAGCATAAAATACAAGAAATAATACCCAAAGTGAGCGACAAAAAAACGGCGGCGTTGGTCAAAGGTTTTTTTCTTCATAACGCTTGGATCTGTAGCTCTCTGCTTTAACTGTCCGAATTTTTACTGTAACAGTTCTGCAGCTACAGTTATTGCTTTGATGAATTAATGCAATTCAGTTTTTTAAAAAAGTAAAATAAAATAAATAAATAAATCAAGTAATGCGCACAAAGATTGAATTATTGCTCACTTATATTAAATTATTGAGCACGCTAATTTTAGTCATTATATCATTATTTCATTTATGAGTATAGCTATTTTTTAAAGAGAGTGCTACTATTCAATTATATATAACGTGGTTTAAATGAATTATAAAGTAGATTTGATCACGTACCAACCAAGTTCATTTCCCAGTAAACTTTTTAACCTGTTTTTTTTTAAATTTATTTATTGCATATATTTACAGTTGAGACGAATATTCGAATAGAATTATTATCGAACGGTCCTCCGTATCACTACGTTGTGACAAGCAATGTCTAAAACTTGAAATTATTTGGCCATGAGAGCCAACATTTGAATGTTTGCATTGATATTTAACAATCAAGATCAGGAAATCTCTAATTATACTGATAGAACAACAATTGGTAATGAGAAAAACTTTACTGTTTTATGAATTCTTTATATATGCTGAGGTGGAAACAGTGATATCTTCGGATTCAGTTTACATATACCTTCAAAGGAATTTCTGTCAGTGCGATTTTAAATATGTCCGTTCTTCACACCAAAGGAAGATCTAATTGACATCTGTTGATAGAAAAATATCATTCGTTTTAATTTTTTTATCTTTGTCATCGCTATAAAACTGGAAGTTCAGAAACCAGTTTCACTGTGACAGAAATATGTAGGAAAGATATCATCTCGCCGTTTGATTCGGTCACGCTATGACCTCTGACTCCCTAATAAGTTCAGACAGAATTGAACATCTTTTCTCTTCAGTAAGTTCATATAAAGAAAATATTTGCAAATGTAAATATTTAGATATCCTCATTACTACATATGTATAATTTTAATAATGATGCCATTTTTTTGAATTGTTGCTCTCTTGCAAATACATGTGCTTGATCTGAGCATTAATTCCTCAAACAAAGTTGTGTTTTAGTGACGAAAGATAATTTTAATTGAATTGACGAAATAGAAACATCATTTATACGATAGTTCCTCCACATTGATACGCCTATGGAATGATTTAATGATAGGAATTGTATGTTATCTTTGTGGCATTTTTTATATTGCGATAATGGATTTTGCAATATCTTTTAACCACCATGTGTATTTCCGAATCAACCAAATTGATGTGCTCAGAAAGTTATAGACTCTGTAAATATTAGCAGCATTCTTAATCATAATAAATTTCAGTCCTTTAAAACTGAAGTCTACTTCTTGAATTTTCTACAGATATTCTCGAACCGTTGCATCCAAATATTCTCAATTATAAACAAACTCTACAATGCCTACATGTTGACCATCTAAAACAAAATCCTCCTTAATTTTCTTGTTCTTCCTTTCTATAATTATAGTCCAACTGGAAATATCATTTGTGGTCATGTAAGTTTGGTTCAAAATGATTACTTAAATCCATTATTTAAAAGGTCTTAAGTTCAGGGAGCTCAGATATTGCATATGGGCGACAGAACTTTATTTCTATTATGAATTCTGTCGAGGAGTATGCTAGACGATAGGATAATTATGATGGGAACTACCTAGACCCTCAATCAGAATGGATAAAGCATTTTAAACTATAAAGAATTGAATTAAAAATTATAGGGGAAAATGCAAACTATATCCTTCCGTCTTCAGTAGACCTGAAATGATAAAAGAATTAGACTACATGACAAATATATTTTGGGATTCCGCTGACAAAACCTGTAAAAATAAAGTCTTTGTGAGGCTCATTATAACATATGAATTTTAGAAGAACTCGATTCAATTCCACATCTGGTAATCCATCCTAAAAGTTGAAATTCTTCAAAATCACC